TTCTGGCCCTACCTTATGAATTCAAATGGAAAACAAAATCCTGAAACTCACCAAGTCGTCAGAAACCTGCTCAAAGTACAAGTGAGTGCCATTGAAAGCTTGGAGTCGAGTATACCCATAATCGGAGCTCCGAAATGCAGACCACTCGGGCTTCTTCCCAAATGAGTCTGTTTTCTCTTGACAACCCTACAAGAATAGAATCAACAAATGCAATGGCAAATGACTGACATAACCATCCACCTAATGCATCACTCAGGATTCAAACTTACAGCAGAGCCAGTGGTGAAATGGACAGGGGCACCTGGATTCACATATGGATTTGCACTGTCCGTTCCGTTGTACACCTTCCGATTGTACACGGGCCAGAGCCGTTCGTAAGAATGCTCGTGAGCCCAGATGGCCAGGTCAACTCCGTACTTGTACAAGAGTGGCTCTACACCAAAGCTGGATTGGACATTGAAAGGGGTTTTATAAAACTGAACATATTTCAGTTTCTCCACCACAAATAATTAAGAATAGATGATGAAGACTCATGTATGTATGTGCAAGAAATGTGATAAGATTTTTCTGGATACAAAAATTTAAGTCATGTGCAAAAAAAAAACCATTATGATGTCATATGCAAAGGGTCAAATGCAAAATACAAAGGACATATGAAGATAGACACTCTGAGGAACATATTGCAGTAACAGATGTGATTCATGAATTGGAAAGCATGGGACTGTGAAAAATTAAAAGTATTTTCAATTCAATTTTCAGCAGTTCTGGCAAGAAAACATTAATTTGGTGATGGCAGAGAAGGATATACAAAAGCTAATCTCAAAAGAAAAAGTTTTGACCAGGGTTTGAGCTTCACAAATCCCCTCTATGAACTCATCAGTATTCTACATAGAGTGTATATAGATGTCTCTGGAGAGGACTTCGCTGCCTCGAGACATAAAAGTGCTTCCACCATCTTGGTGAAATCTCGCACGTGGGAATGAATAGCGTGATTGGTTGGGTCCCGGCATGGAAGCCCCCAGGCATGTAGCTTGGGGAAATTGCCTCTTTTGCCCTCCCCCTCTCCATGTGTCTTCTATGAATTCCTTGCTCGTGCAACTTCAGTAAGATGGCGGCCGCACCTGGAAGGGTGCAGCGCCTCATGCTATAGGGGAGGCCCCTCCATTATACACGCTCTATGGTATGCTAACTTAAGTTGGCAAGGATAAGACTGAGTACATGGTAAAGAATGATGAGACATAATGACGGTTTTGATTCCATCTTGTCCTAAAGTCTCCTTTCACAACCATATGAAGATTCTCAACTCATCCCAGTCTCCACAATCTATGCAGGAGAAGGATGGGCCATACTAGAATCAAGAATGTGATTTTCATGACCCATCCCAGGAACCCATAAGCTGGAATGACATCCAATCACAGCTATTGGTTTGAATGCTAGTAACCATTAAAAAAGCACATCTTTCCTTCCCAATACCATATGGATTGCCTTAGGTTGTCTTTAATTGCAAGAAAAAACTGAAATTCATCTAGACAATTTGTAACTTCCCTGTACCATACATTTTGCTACATTCTTATTTTTCTTAAAATTTCCTTATTGTATATATGGAGGGGAGTCTCACAAGTGAAGAAGTGGCACTCCAACACGAATGATGGTTTCATGCTTCGTGCAGTCATCTCGATCGGAGTTGCTGCAGTACATGGGTCTGTGTCCAAACACAATCACCCAAGGTTGCTTTGCTCTGTTCTCAGGTTGATTTGCTTCCTGCAAAACATAATAGTCTAAAATCATGAAAACTTGATATTTTTTGTTCATATTGTAATCAAACACACATGATGCCATAGGTGTCATAGAAATAAATTTAAGGCTGTTATGTAGTCAGCTTTGAAGGTATCAATTCATCAACCTGAACACCTATGCAAAAGCAAAATAAGTAAATGCTGATAAACAGTGAGAAATTGGGTAAAAAGGGGACTAATTAAAAACAGCATGTCAAATTAGGTGTAGAACTCGTACAATTCATGATCACTTCTGCATCATGCTATAGATAGGTGGACCAAGAAGTACAAGTGGACAGGGGGGTTTAAAAAAAAAAAGGCCTTATTGGCATCATACCCATCACCTCTTCACAAAAGTTCTTCCATGTTTTTTTTTGTTCTTCTTTCTATCATTTTCCATTGTCTCATTGTCACAAATGCCTTACTGACAAACTTGCAAATTTTCATTCAGGCACTTCACTCCTCAGATTGTTAACCCCTCAGACCAGTTTGCCATATATGTGACATTTTCTTTGCCACAGGTGGTTAGCAATTTAAATACCAGCTTGAAGGGGTTACTGCAGTGCCAAGCCAAATAAAACCATGTGTGACAAACCAACTACCTATCATGATCTGGTATATATTATACCAGACTTGAATAGATGTGGAACACTTTAATGCATTCAGTGCAACCTAATGCATCTAAATCTTTCCCAACTTGGATATTCAAAATCAGTGCAGAAAAGAAACCACATACAACTATCATATTATGGGTTACAGAAGCTATAGCTAAAATCTGCCAAGTAGGAAGTTCAAATGCATCCTGGATATCCTATCCTTACAAGGCAGAGACACTTTCCCTTGCTATCATTTTAAGAAACTGACAAAAAACTGAGAACTTATGAATGAGAATATTTTCCATCATTACTCACCATGAGAGTTCTCTCCAACCATTCATACTGGAAGACAACCTGCTTGTATCCATAGTTAAGGAAGTAATAGAATTCTGTTGAAATGGCTATGAACTTAATAGGGCCCATCTCAAAGGTGTAGAACATGTTCTCTTGCCCTCCTGGCATGGCAAAGCGCTGCTTGTAGTGTGTGAAGTTACTGCAACAGATCACAGGGAAACATGATTTAGAAATTCCTGATTACCAAATGATAATTGAAATCACTTGGGACTCCTCATGCAAATACTCACTAGGCCTGTTCATGATTTCCAACACAAGTCATGTATGGAAGTCTGGCAGCAATTGGCTCCATCAATTCCATAAAATCATCACCCACTGTTCCATCCTTCTGAAAAAGTGATAATCAGTTCTGTAGACTCTGCAATCCCTTGAAAAAGCTGAGATCGTGCCAATAAATACGTGGCCAAGGCATAGTGCAGGCATAATACATGAACTCACATCATTCATGTCATAAGCAAAATCTCCAACATGAAGAACTGCATCATACATTCCTTGTCTGACATCTTTTGTCAACTGTGGGATGGACTGAGCATTGATGAGACCCAAATCACCGAAGAGGGCCAGACGTGGGCTCCAGTCAGACCCATCAGGAAAGGTAGTGAACTTGTATCCGGCTGACCATGCCAAGACACTTCCACAATGATAGTCTGAGAAGGAAATCAGAAAATGCATTGGCTTTGGTGTCATTGAATAAGCATCACCAATTCATTACTGGTACTTGCCTGCCTTGTGATCAGAAAACTACATACCCCATGAACATCCATCCTGAATAGTCTTTGCACTGTCCACACCAACAACCCAATAATTCTAATCCTGGGATACTAAATCCTAAGTTCTAACAATCCCAAATCCTGACAGACAGCAAAATTTGGAAGGTTGGAAAATATTGCTACTTGCTCTTGAACCCTCCAGGCAAGGAATGAAACAAAAAACCAACTTGATCATATGCTCAGAACATCTGGCCCCAATTGAGTCACATTGATTTGTGAAAACCTTATACCTATTGCTTACTGTTGTATTAACCCATTACTGTTCCCTGGGACTGCTTTCTTCAATGCACTACTCTATACCTCTTAATGACTCAAAACCTCTCCCTATTTCCCATCCTGCAAGTTCCACTCTCTCTTTTTTTCACCTTTGTGGCTCAATTCTCTGTGCTGCCAGTGATTCCTTGATTCATGAAATGCCATACTAATTAACTGAAAACAAAAGTGAGCAGCATAAAGGACACAATGGAAGGCACTCATCTACAAATACTAACATGCATTTAAGGAAACAGGAAAGGATTGATCTATACAGAGATCCCATTAACTTGACAAGTGTTCTCAGGGTGGAGTTGGGGTGCCCCAGGCAATCACAAGATGAACAAGAAAAATGAACATTGAGAATCTCCTTTTATCTTACCATACGTGGTATTAGGTAGCAGATTGGTAAGAGTGACCCGGTGGATGTACTGGGAATGCTTTTTAGGCCCGGGGTCAACAAACAATGTTCGAGTTCCAGTCACTGTGCTCCATGGCTTCTCATCTCCTTCTTTTCTAAAAATGACCTCTGAAGTTCCTGTGTCCAACCATGTACTCCACATCACAACCATTTCCCCTGATGATTCTGAAAGACAAAGAGCAAAGAGAGTCAGTAGTGACAGGTATTTCAAAGAGAGAAAAACCAGTTTTTTTTTCCTAAACAATGATGCACTCACCCCCAAGAGACAAATGGATCTGCCCAGGAATGAAATTCCCAGTGTTTGATATGTCCTCAGCAAACTCATCTTGTCCCAGGCTGGCATCATAGAACAGCGTCATAAGAAAGCCAATAAACAGCAATCCGAAGGCATGGTGGCAGTGCTTATTGGCAAACCACATGCTTCAGTTTGTCTACCTGAAGTGAAAAAATCTACAAAGAAAATTTAGTGTCAATAAAGTCTGATTCAATCATTTTCATTTGTCTAACAATAATTATTAGACATATCAGAAAAATATTAAAATACATGAAAAAAAAAACTTGACAGTACATTGATGACACATAAACATTCATCAACAAGAGTACAGGTTTATTAAATTATAGTTGAAGATGTACAAACTTTCCACTGAGTGATTCAAGTAGGGGAAGCAGATAATGTGTTTTATCAGATAAATCTTCTCTACTAACCATTACTCTGATTCAATCTGACTAAGCCTACAACCTTATCACTCAAACTATTAGGCCCTAACCCTCAGTTATATAACATTTTGGCCTCCTATGGGAATGGAACAATATCGCTAATTAGACACTTAAAACGTTTTCATTCAATGCAATATAGATTTCAAAATCAATTTTGTGATGCTTCTTCCAAACGAATTTTCTAAAATTATGAATGTTATGCCTTGATGGCACCAAAGGGGGAGGAGGTGAAGGAGGCAGAGGAAGAAAAGACGGCCAAGAAAGTGGACAGGCGAGAACGGGGAGATAGAAAATTTAATTCTTCCCCCCCACCAAAAAAAAAAAATTCATATTGATAGACCTCAACAAATTTACCTCAGCTTTAGTGTAGACTTGCATGCAGCTCTCTAGTTTTCATTTGGGGTGTAATGTTAGGCCTACGACTGAGGACTAGTAATAGTCCATCGGAATTCCCCGGCACATCTATCTATATCAGATCCAATGCCTATGATAGGAAACGCTACGTCAGTTTCTCGTGCAAATTTTCTCGTATAGGTCAGTTAATTAAATTGCTTTCCTCTCACGGTTAGCTGATGAAACCGTGACCAACCAGTTCACTCAGTAGATAAAAACATATGACACATGCTACGCAGAGCTATGCAAGCACCGCCCGCTCCCTTGGCTGTCCTCCCTCAGAGACACCTATCGCAGGGGAAACGAAATAGAAGAATGTTCTTTCCACATCTAGATGACGGAGGGATCCTTGTGAGGGCGAAGCGGTGAGGGAGGGGGGGAAAGCTAGCTCTGATTTCGAAATGTGCTGAATCGAATCCGGTTCCTATCTCGGATTCCCGTTTTTACTCTGTTGAAGTGTGAGTCGGTTTCGGAACACGAGTCATCACACTACACTTTCATTTATGTTGTGTCATTTAAAGAGACTCGAAATTTCCCCAATCGCTTCGAATTCCATTACACCCCTCTTGAAGTGATTTTAGCTCGATGTCCGCTGCACGAAATCGGTGCCTGGAACATCTGGCAACCCTCGTCGCATATGGCCGCCACCGCCGCGGCGCCGTAGGTGACTCTGTCGGTTGCCATTTCTCCCTCACTAGGATTTCCCTCTCGTAATTATCGCCGGTGAATATGATTTCGTAGTCTCAGTAGACTAATTATTTCAATAATTTTTTAAAAAAGAGAATCCACTTTAAAGTATGGTTCCAAACGTTATTTAAGGTTCTGCAGTGTTTGGGAAAGATTCTAACTCTTCCGAAACTTGATTTGGATTTTGAAAAGAGAAGTATGAGATCCTCTTTGTATTTGACTTTGTGCAGTTGTAGAACAACTTAGAACGACTCGGGATTGCACAATCCAAGCCATCGATGCCAGAAAGGAAAAGAGATCCTGCCATCTTGGGTTTTCCTCGGGATTCGCCCGTGAAGCATTTCGCAAGAAGCTTAGCCTATGTTCAGCCTTGATGGCTCGCGCCGCTAAATGTCCTCCGTATTTCATTCACCGCATTCATCAATCGTCTTTTTTTTGTTTCGATATCGTTCAGAGGAGATCTCGAAGTCCGGGTCTCGCCGATATGGATTAAAAAGTCGCGTTGAGAGTGCAGAAGTACTTTTCAGTACCGAAACCGCTGAAACGTACATTTTAAAAAATGCACGGGGCGACTGCTCCAAATCCTTCAAGTACTGAAAGCACGAACCTATAGCAACATTTTCCGTTTGATTTCCCGAAAGGATGGACTTGCCTCAGAGATTGAAGTACTAAAATACTACTGACTGTTTTGAAAATTACCTTCAATGAAATTATTGAACCGATTCAATATTTCAAGTATTGGAAAGTACTTTTTGAACTTCTACGAGGGTTGTCCGAAAAGTTCTCAGTATTGTTTCTTAAAATGAGTTACACTTGAATCTGTATTAAATTTCGGTGAGCACTGGTTATATCTAATAGCATTCACTGTGCGAAGTTTGGTATAAATTTATCCAGATTTACACTCGCTACCGGATATTGCATACAGTCGCTATGGACGCCTCCGTCGTGCAAGAATCATTCTCGAAACATCGCATTCGAGTCATCATCGAGTTCCAAGTTCTGCTCGACGACACACCGACAGGGATCCATCAACTGATGAGCGGTATCGGGTGAGACGTCCGGCTCATGCGCTTATGGTGTGGTGATTCGGCGGTCTTCTTGAAGGAGGTCGGCGACTTGCTGGACTTTTTGCTGGTGTTGAAGCAGAAACTGGTCGCCCACTTCGTGGCTCATCAAGGTCCGTCTTCCCTCCAGGAAGAGCTTTCATCACTTTCGTCTCGTCTCGTCAGCTGGACAGTGTTGGCCAAATGCCATCGACATCAGTTGATGGATCTCTGTCGGTGTGTTGTTGAACAGAACATGGAACTCGATGAATCGAATGTGATGTTTCGAGAATGGACGACGGAGGCGTTCATAGCGACTGTATGCAATATCCAGCAGCGAATGTAAATCTGGATAAATTTATACCAAACTTCGCACAGTGAATACTATTAGACATAACGAATGCTCACCGAAATTGAATACAGATTCATCGAGTGTAACTCGTTTTAAAAATCAATAGAGAACTTTTCGGACAACCCTCGTATTACTCTGGACCTCTGTCATCTCGACAACATGCGGTGAACAAACTGGGACTCAGAATCCGCCATGGCCTCAAGGTCGCGCATTCCTATGCAGCCCATATGCGACGAAAGACTCCTGAGTCCTGCCAGGACCGAAAGGATTAAACCAAGTGCATAGAGAGACGCATGCGATGATGGCCTCTGCAACCGCTCCCCACCCAGGAGGCCACACGCAGATGGCCACGCCCAAGTGGGCGCAATCAAATGGACCCGCTCTTGCTGCCGCTTTATTTCGTTAGCGCCAAATCAGCGCATCACTTGCATTAATGTAGCAAAGCCGACCGTCAGACCCCATCGTTCATTTTCGCGATGACAAATGGGACCCACGCTCCCTTCACCCGAAAGGATGCCAGATGAATGACGACTGCCGCTGTAGTTAAGGAAAGTGGACACCCACTTAGACCGATGACCAAACGAACCGTGAAAGCAAGTGGCTTGATGACGATCGCGAAGATTTTACGCGGCTGGGTCAGAGGTTGCGAATCCCTAATTTCACCGCGATCGGTGGCGAAAGCGGAGGGTGCATCGGAGACTCCTTCTTTTCCCTCTCGGATTGAAATCGTAACGCTGCCGGGCATGGATTTCAGTCTTTTGCGTCTGACTTGGCTTGCGTGGGTGGATCCAGAAAGGTTTTCCAGTTTCGTGCAAGTCGCAGATTGAATGTAAAGCAGGGTCTTTCCGTGCATGAACACGATCGATAGATCTCATCCTTCATCCTGCGATGAAACGCCTTTGCGCCACTCCTACGTTTCTTTTCTTTTCCAGTTCGAGTTTATTTGCTGCCGAAACTCTTATCTAAGAATAGACAAAGCGTGATCCTGAAATCTGCATTAGACAGCCAAATTTCCCACGAATGAATAGAGTGCAGTCCTCGAGTTGTCATGAGATCGTGTTTGAATTTACCGGTGCAAAGGGATTCAGCAACCCTGCTTCGATAAGCCTCGAACTTCGGCTGTCAACACACGATCAAACCCACGCCATCGAGTAAAGCCGAGTCCATACTGTGCTGTGCAACATGCTGGGCTCTGTGACTGCGTGCTGTGCAACATGCTGGGCTCTGTGACTGCGTGCTGTGCTGCAAAACCTTATCCAGCAGGCGCGGCTGCTGAATGCAATCCTGCAGGGTGGGAAGGAAATTGCTGCACGGCAGCTGGATGTAGCATCTCGTCCAGCAATTAAATCTGAGCCGAATAGCATTCTGGACAAAATTTAGACCATTCCTATGTTTGAGATTGTAACTTGCAGGACAGTAGACGCAGCGATGCATCTACCGTAAGCAATTTGCAGGTTTGCTGACCAATTAGATTCTATATCTGAGACCAGTTTCTCGCCTGTACCAAATCCAAGTCAAAACTTAATCTTAAATCGACCCGAAGGCATTGAAAAAGCAGCCAAACGCTTTTCCTTTCCTTTCGCCCGCGCTAAAGCGCGAATCTAGAACTAAATCTAGAACAAAATCGAATCTAAAAATAAAAGTCTGTTTCTCTCTCAAGGCAAAATGTCGACTCTAGCTCAGTGGTTCTCAACCTTTTTCATGTCGCGACCCATCGAGCCCACTTCCCATATTTATGTGACCCACAAATGATGCAGACGTGTGACTAAAAAAAAGTATTGAATTTTTAAATGTGAATATGACGCTTTCAATATCCTTCTCTGGGCATTATTCCTTCACCATTCACTGTTCCTTCATTATTCCTTTCTGTTTCTTCACCTTTTCGAGCTTCCTCTGAAAGAAAAACCCGCTGTGGATGATCTAGGTTTATGATATTTTCGATCACGTTGGAAGCACCAAAAATATTTTTTCTGAAAGAGTCATGCATCTAGGTTGTCTGAATAAAAATCGCCAGTCGTTTAAAGTGGAGTCAAAAATGTACATTTTTCGCGCATGAGGTGGACGGATTTTCGGCCCTGCTCGAATGATTTCTCTCACTTGACGCCATAAAGACGGCTTTTTTTTTACGCCATGTCCTTGTCGTTTTATCCGACACGTCGTAGAATAGTACTACTGTTGTACATCGCTGCATCGGAATCATTGCTACCTGCGATGAAAATTGCCATAAAAAATATGCATTTATGATGTCAAGGGAAATAAATCATTC